GAGCTGCCAGTAATCCACATCTTGTGGTTCACTCTGCTGGACCTGGGTGTGTGCAGAAAGAACCAAGCTGCTCACCAATGCTGGCCTTTACCAGCACCGGTCTGAAGAGGGTCAGCTAAGTCTCAAAGCTCCCAGAGATCCACCTTTACCTGCAGTCTTTCTGTTAAGCTTAAATACTGAAATTGCCTCCAGCTGTACTCTTCTGCCCTCAGCTTAAGCTCTACTGGGTGAGGAGAGAGATTACTGCAGGTGGGACTATTGCTTCCCCTGAGGCTGATGCTGAATAGAGGCGAGTGCTCTGCCTAAGAAAGATGACTTCTGCAGAATGGGGAATGACTCAGCATAGGGATCTTAGTGATCGTTCCTTCAGCTCTCTCTCCAGAGCCACAAACCCCAGAATCTCCTCATCCATCTCTAGTCCACTCTGCCCTCTCCCTGCTGGAGCCCAGGGTAAGTGGCTGCAAACGCAATTTTGTGCATTGGCCCTTTAAGAGGCCCTCTGCATCTCCAGCCATCTCTCCCTGGTAGACATAAACCCCAGTGCTTTTCACAGGCAGATGTTATTTGGGTTCCTTTCCGTGCTCTGTTGCTTTGGCTGAGGAGCCTAGCTTGGGTTTAGACACCACACTTCTCTGGGGGGACTCCCCAGTCACTGAAATATTCCCCCAGAACATCAGCTGCTGCCTGTGGGAGCCCAGCCAGCCCTCTCGTGCCTCCTCTGTACTCCCTACCAGTCATGTTATGGTGAACTGGTTTCTCCTGTAAGTCCTTGATTATAACGCTTCTCTCCAGCTATTGTTCAGTTGGTTATTCAGGATGATTTGTCTTTAATTTAGTTGTAATTCCAGTTTGGTCCTGGGGGAAGATAAGTGCAGCTTCCACCTACTCTGCCTCCATTTTGCACCTCCTCACTTGTGCTTTTAATGTCATATTCAAGAAATCATTGACAATGCCAAGGAGCTTTTCCCTTTGTTTTCTTCTGGGAGTTTTAAAGTTTCAGATATTATTTTTAAGTCTTTAATTTATTTTTAGGGGTGTGTGTGTGTGTGTGTGTGTGTGTGTAGTGTAAGATAAGTATCCAATTTAATTTTTTTTTACACTGGATATCCATTTTCCCAACAATTTATTGCAGAGACTATCATTTCTCCTTTGTGTATTCTTGTCCCCCTTGTTGAAGATCAGTTCATAAATGTGTGGTTTATTTCTGGGCTCTTTATTCTGTTCCACTGGTCAATGTCTCTTGTGCCAGTATCATATTATTTTCTTAATGGTAGTTTGAAATTAGGAAATGTGATGCCTCCTAATTTGTTCTTCTTCAACCATGCTTTGTCTAGTTGAGGTCTCTTGAGATTCCATATGAATTTTAGGATTTTTCTTTGCATAAATTAATTGGGACCTTGATAGAATTGCATTTAATCTGTAGATAGCTTTGGGTAGTTTGGACATTTTGACAATATTAGTATGAAATATCTTTTCATCTATTTGTGTCTTTTTTAATCTTTTTCATCAGTGTTTTATAGTTTTCTATATATGTCTTTATTGCTAAGTATATTATGCTTTTTGTATGCTAGTGTAAATGGGATTTTTTTTTATTTCTAATAGTTTATTGTTAAAGAAATTCTACTGAATTTATTTATTACTTTTAACAGTTTTATTGTGAAGTCTTTAGGGTTTTCTACACATACATTGAATCATTTTATATACAGAGATAAGTTTACTTGTTTCTTTCCAATTTGGATGCCTTTTATTTAATTTTTTTTCTTGCTCTAATTGCCCTCACTAGGACTTCTATTACTGTGTTGAGTAGAAGTAAGAAAAATGGGCATCCTTGCCTTGTTCCTAATCTTAGGGTAACAGTTTTCAGTTTTTAACTGTTGAGTGTGAGGTTAGCTGTGAGCTTTTCATATATGGCCTTCAATATGTTTAGGTAAATTCTTCCTATTCCTAGTTTATTAAGCATTTTTATCATGAAAGGATGTTGGATTTTGTCAGTATTTTTGTTGCTTCAATTGATATGATTATGTGATTTTAATTCATCATTCTGTTAATGTGATGTTTCACAATTATTGACTTTCATATGTTGAAACATCCTCATGTCACAGGGATAGATACCACTTGGTCATGGTGTAAAACCCTTTTAACGTGCTTTTGAATTCAGCTTGCAAGTTTTCTGTTGAGGATTTTTGCATCTGTAGTCATCTGGAATACTGTCCTATAGTTTTATTTTCTTTTAAAGTCTTTTGCTTTTGCTATGAGTGTAATGCTGGTCTCATAAAGCTACTTGGAAGTGTTCCCTCCCATTTAATATTTTGGAAGAGTTTGAGCAGGATTGTCCTTAATTCTTCTTTCAGTGTTTGACAGAGTTCACCCATGAATCTATCTGGTTCTGGTACTTTCTTGGGATGTTTTTTATTACTGATTTAATCTCATTACTAGTTATAAATCTGTTCAAATTGTCTATTTACACATAATTTAGTCTTAGTATAGATTGTGTGTTTCTAGAAATTTGTTATTTTCCAGATTAACCACTTTCTTGGCACAGAATTATTCACAGTAGTCTTTTATAATCCTTTCTAGTTTTGTGGCACTAGTTGTAATGTGTCCTCTTTCATTTCTGATTTTATTTGTCCTCTCTTTTTTATTCTTAGTCCATTTAAAGGTAGTCAATTTTGTTGATCTTTAAAAAAACAGCTTTCAATTTAGTTGATTTAAAAAAATTATTTTTATAATCTGTGTTTTGTTTATTTCTGCTCTAATCTTTATTATTATTTTTTTATTTCTGCTAACTTTGGGCTTAGTTCTTTCTCTAGTTCCTTGAGGTGTAAAGTTCTTTATTTGAAGTTTTTCTTCTTTTTTTAATGTAGGGACTTACTATAAACCTCCTTAGTACTGCTCTTGCTGTATCCCATCAATGTTGTTATGTTTTGGTTTCATTTTTGTTTGCCTCAAGATATTTTCTAATTTCTCTCTTTATTTACTTGACCCATTAGTTGATCAAGAGTATTTTTTATATTTCACATTATTTGTGAATTTTCTAGCTTTCCTTATGCTATTGGAAACAAAGTATTGTAATCTTCTGATGTTATTGTGTTGCTATTTTCTCCCTTCAGTTCCCTCAGCATTTGCTTTATATATTTAGGTGTTCTCATGTTAGCTGCATATATATTTATAGTTGTCATATCTTCCTGGTGAATTGATGCTTTTATCATTATATAATGTCCTTTCTTGTCTCTTGTGATAGTTTTGACTTAAAGTCTATTCAGTCTGATACCCCTGCTCTCTTTTGGTTATCATGTTCAGGGAATTTTTCTGTTCTTTAATTTTCAACCTATGTGTGGCCTTAAATCTAAAGTGAGTTTTCTGCAGACAGCATACATTGGATCTTACTTTTTATTCATTTGGCCACTCTATGTCTTTGAAAGGGAATTTAATCCACTTATATGTAAAGTGACTATTGTTAGGGAAGGACTTACTATTGCTATTTATTTGTTGTTTTTTGCCTTGTAATTCTTTCGTCCTTTTTTTCTCTCTTAGTGTCTACTTTTGTGTTTCACTGATTTTTTGTGTCATGATATGCTTTTTCTTTCTCATTTTCTTTTTCTGCATGTTCTATAGGTATTTTCTCTTTTTTTAATAATTTATTTATTTTTAGAGAAGGGAAAGGAGGGAGAGAAACATCAATATGTGATTGCATCTCATGCACCCCCTACTGGGGACCTGGCCTGCAACCCAGGCATGTGTCCTACACTGGGAATCGAACCAGCAACCCTTTGGTTTGCAGGCCAGTGCTCAATCCACTAAGCCACACCAGCTAGGCCTATAGGTATTTTCTTCATGATTACAATCAACCTTACTTAAAATTATAGCAAGTTACTTAGAGTTATAGCAATCTATTCTAAGACAATAGTAGTTAAGTTCAATCTCATTGAAGAGCTCTATTTTATTTTCTTGAATGTTATTTTTTTTAAATAGCATCCAATTTCCAATAGATAGGTTTCTGAAGATTATTTTTTTCTTTGCATGGTCTCTGGTTTTCCTATTTGCTTTCATTTCTGTTTTTGTTTGTTTGTTTGTTTTGTTTTGTTTTCTTTCACATTAGAGGCTTTCCTCAGATGCCTGATAATCCATGCTTGCATTTATGAGTCAGGACCAAAAACAAATTGGAAGCTTTTAGTACATGAGTGGTCCTTGTTGACTTTGAGCTTCACTTTAAAGTCATCTGGCTCCTCTATTTGTTGGAGAAATTCCCCATCCAAAATTAGAATTTTTAGATTTTTCCTCTTGGGGCTAATCCAGTTCTTCAGATAAAACATTTATAAACTCTTGTTTGGAAAGCTACTACTACCAACACTGTAGGAGCCAAAAGGGGGAAATTGTCTGGGGTATCCTCAGCATTCAGTATGCATTATTTATCTTAATTTTCTTGCTTTCAGAAACAGTATTTACACCTTCATTTGGGCCTGGCATTCCCTATATCTAGAGAATGAACCTCCAGTATTCACCAGGATTGGGAGTGGCCTTTTACCCAGTAGCATGTTGTAGGGGAGGATATTTTAAGGTCTAGTTGGTTTTTAAACAGCTTTCAACCTACCCACCTTGTCTTAACTCCATCCCCTTACATCTGTTTCCAGAGATACCTGAAGCTATCAATTTCTGAATTGTTTTAGAATACTTAGGTATAGATTGTATTGGTTCCTGGCTTTCCCCACTGCTAGTTGAAGATTCAGCTTTCTTGAGTATGCTTACCCAATATTTCCCAGCTCACCCCATATTTCCCAGAGTATTGTTGCTATTGCTTCTTTTCCTTGTTCTTCCTGACCTTGTAGGTTTGTTTAAAAAAGAAAAATCCTACAGTTTTTGAGAGTTTTCTGGAGGGAATGAAATTAAATACATGTGTTCAATCCACTATCTTGATCTGAAACTAATGAATTATAACCACAATGAAGTAGTTGCCTTACCTCCCTCATGTGATATTTCTCTTGATCTTCTGTTCATATTAGGTGTTATACTTGAAGAACCTTAGCCCTCAGGCAACCGAAAGAGATCTTGTCTCATTGTTCGCTCGATTCCAGGAGAAAAAAGGACCTCCAATTCAATTCAGAATGATGACTGGACGAATGAAGGGACAAGCTTTTATTACCTTTCCCAGTAAGTAACTTTATCTGGGTAATTACTCAGTTGTAGCATCGTCATTAGAGACTACTTATGCCATCTCTAATTTAAATACAGTCCTTTGACTTCTCCATAACACATGAAAAACATTTGCTTAAACAAGCACACGGGAAGAGGAGAAGAGAAGTAAGCAAAATACGAATTCAGTGTTCCTCTATCCTCACTTCTGGGCTTCCTCTCCACTACTGAGTGTGTGTGCATGACCACCTTACCCCATTGTACTCAATTTTCCTCAATCTTTGCACTTTCTTCTAACTTTATGAAAATTTACTTCACCTTTGAAAATTTTACTTTACCTTTGCTCACAATAGTATTTGTAGTCTAAGTTATAATTATATTACTTATTAATATATTGGTATTCTGATCAGAACACTTATACTTGCTTAATGTATAATTTAGGACTAAGAGACTGTAAGCTAATATGCTAGTTCACTAGTAATTCACAACTAGTGGATGATTTTTTTAAATTTTTTTGTTAAAATTTTATTTATTTATTTTTTTAGAGATGGGAAGGGAGGGAGAAAGAGAGGGAGAGAAACATCAAAGTGTGGTTGCATCTCACAGATCCCCTGCTGAGAACCTGGCCTGCAACTCAGGCATGTGCCCTGACTGGGAATCAAACCAACAACCCTTTGGTTTGCAGTCTGGCACTCAATCCACTGAGCCACACCAGCTAGGGCATATTCTTATTACTATTATTTACATCTTAACACATGATTTGAGTATCCTAATCCAAAGGGAACAAATAATATAGGAATTTTGGTTTCTCTGACAGACCGTACTATCTTTTTTTTCTTTTTTTTTGGCTGTAGGCTGGGTATGAACTGTACTTTTCATTATTCCTAAGATATCAGCCTAATAATCTATATACAGGCAAGTGATTTACACTTGAGCAGTTCCAAACTCCACTCTTCTCATGTAGTCTTGTACCATCTTTCCTATCTCATTGAAGGTTTGTGGATTATCTACACCAGTAATTTTCAGCCTTTTAAGTGTGAAGATTCTTTCTAAACTTAAAAAAAATCTTTTATGGACCCCACCTACTATGATCCTTTAATTGAAAATATATACATATAATAAAAAGGCTTTATAAACTAAGTATTTTCAAATGGATAACTGTTTTACTACTCATAGTAGCAGCCATCCACATTTGAAAATTTGTAGTACATATGTAAATTGTGACATAAATTGGTTCAGTGTAAAAATATTGCTTGTGTACTTTTGATTTCACAAACTTCGGACAATAATTCCATTCCTTCCTGATTTTCTACATCAAGGCTCTAGTACTCATAAGTTGAATACTCCTGCTGTACACTCTGTATTCTCACATCTCAAGTTTTCATATGCTTACAAGGATTAATCATTAGACTTATTTATCCCAATGAGGGTTCCCACAATCACTCTCCTATCAAAACATAAGAAGGAGCAAAATATCCTTAATACCATGATAACCTCTTTTATTTGTGTTGACCATTTTGAAAATGATTTCATTCTCACAATACCCATAATCTGTTATCTAAGATAGAGGTTTGTGTATTAGTAGTTATAACTTAGACTTCTTTAGCACACTATATTCTTGTTTCTTTACCTATATCTTTAAATTAGGAGGCACTCCCAAACATCTATTTTAAGTTTTTCTTGTCATTATAATTAGCCATTAGTTTAATCTTGCTGAGTTATACAAATTTGAGGTTACGGGAAAGATAATAAAATCAAATAGCTATATGGTCTTATACCCTACATTTAACTCCAAGATAAAAATAAATAAATAAATACATAAACTAAGCTTGGAATGGAATTGAATTATTAAATCCTGTGTAAATTGATATTTTTCTTTTTTTTTTAGATAAGGAGATAGCATGGCAAGCATTTCATCTAGTAAATGGATATAAACTTCATGGGAAAATATTGGTGATAGAATTTGGAAAGAACAAAAAGCAACAGTCAGATCTCCAAGCTGCCTCTCTCATATCATCTGCTACAGAAAGCACTACAGAAATGAGTGGTAGCTAGAAGATATATACATTGTGAGTCCCAGGAAGTCTTTCTGGCATCAGAATCTCTGATCTAGGATTTCTATATAGACAGCACTTTGTTTGGAATTGAAGAAGAGAAACTGAAGAAGAGAAAAATCTAGTTAAGATAATCCCTTTAGCTTTTAGAAAGAATTGGTAGAAAACATTTTTTATAATCAAAGACTGTATAGGTCAGACAAGATGCTGAGTCTGCAGTGTAGGGTACAAAGAATATAATTTTCATGGGATAAATTATAAAGGATTATTTCCAAGGATTTAACAAAATATTTATAGTTTATCTGTGGTCCTAAATATTTGTCCCTAGAGATAACATTCTTTCCAAGACTGCCTCCTATACACAGAACTAAAAAACTAAATACTGAAATACTTATTTATTAGAGCCCATTTGTCACTAATTGTATTCATGTAGTAAATAAATTACCAGGACCCCAGGCCTAGACATCAACAAATGCTGTTAAATGAGAACTATCAGCAGTAACAGTAGTTTCATAAATCAGTACGCATATCTAATTATACTTCCCATTAAGTTATCAGCGCATTCAGTAAGCCATATATTTTTCTAATGAAAGCATCTAGATGTAAATATTGATGTTCTCCTGGTCATTTATAGCTAACTACCATTGAGTAATCATTGAATTCAAAGCAATATGCATCAGATAAACATCTAATATATGTTAGGTATTAGGTATATGCATTTAAGAGGAACATACTAGCAAAAAATACTAAAGGAGAAATGGGTGGAAAGAGTTATCTAGAAGAGAGGAAGCCAGTCCCAAATACCCCAGTTGTTTTTTTATAGTTGCTGGAGAATAGAAAGACAAGGTATAGAGAAGATAGTACAAACTTTGGACTCAGACCTGTGTTTGAATTTCACAGCCACACTTATCACTCCATGACCTTGGCAAGCCATTAATCTGAACCTCTGATTTCTCATCTATAAAATGAGGAAAATAATACTATTCACCTTGTTGGGTTGTGAGAATTAAATGAGATGATATTATCCAGATTAAAGAGCAGGAAAAAAAAAAAAGAAGGAAAAACTAAACAGAGTATAGCACAATTAACCCTGCAGATGTCAAAGTCAAAAAAAAAAATACAGCATAGGTCTCGTGTGTGCAAGAGATACATTAATTACTAGTATGTGCTGAAATGTGAAAAAAAACAGCAGATTTGCATTTATTATACTTATATAATACAAGATTTTTATTTATTTTCCATTACAGTGTAGAAATTAAAGAAATATAAAAACGTAAAGAATAATTTTTCAAATAATAAAAATAATATTGCTAAAAATATAACCAAAAAAAGTATAACATTAATTAATGAGAATCTTCAATAGTTGGCTTTGCAAAATGTTTGTAACAGTCATTGCAAACAGTATTGCTATGCTCAAGGCAAAAATACTTTTCACAACACTTGCAAAAATATTTTGATAAGCTCCTTGTTTTGAATGCATAGCACCTAACACATCTTACGAAACACATTTTAACCAAACTGATGGCTTAAAGATTATGGTTTAACATTAGTCACATTTAAACATGCAGTTAGTCATGACCTTGAACCTCTCCACTGGATATGAGTAACGATATTTAAGAAAAGAGTTTGTATCTCTCAAATCAGCCACGATCTTTACAGGTTAAGTACTCCAACATACTTGTAATGGGAGTACCAGAAAAAAAGAGAAAGAAAGCAGAAAAAATTTCCTAACAAGTAAAGGCTGTAAACATCCAAAATTTCATGAGAAACATTATCTACTCATCCAAGAATTTCAGGGAACCCCAAGTACGGTAAACTGGAAGAAATCCACAGGTACGTTATAATAAAAATGCTAAAACAAAGACAAAGTTTGGAAGCAGTATGAGAAAAAGGAACTATCACTCTCAACAGAACCCTAATAAGGTTAATAGCTGGCTTCTCATCAGAAATAATGGATATGGCAGTGGGATAACATATTCATAGGGCTCAAAGAGAAAAAAAAAACTGTCAATATAGAATCCTACATCCAATAAAACTAATTTTCAAAAATGAAGATTAAATAAAGACATCCCCACACAATCAAATCTACACATATGAAAATATAACATGGGTGAAGTTAATTATATAATTATAAATGTCAGTCTAAATGCATTTTCCTAATTATTTTAATTGATTAAAAATCAGTTTTATAAAACAGTATGTATATAGTTGCACTTTCGGTCCAATAACATGAAACTGTAATATATTTGCCAATAACAGGACAAAGGAGGTGGGTGGAAGGAAAACTTAAAGTGACTCCAGGTGATAACTCAAATATACTGAAACAATTGAAGAAAACAAAAAATGGGAAATAAGGTTAATATTAAAAAGCTATAAATATATACTTGCTCTTCTCTTGCCTTCTTTAAAAGACAAAATTATGTTAAATTATTACAATGTATTGTTGGGTTTATAACATGTAGAAATATATAACAATAATGTAAAGTAGTAGAGAAACGAATAGGTTTCTATAGGAATAAAGTTTTTATATCTCATTGGAATTATGATATATTTGAAGCCAATTCAGTTAAGATGTTCACGGTAAAGCTTTAGAGCAATCACTAAGAAATAACTGAAAATACATAGTGAAAATATTATTAAACAAATTTAAGTGTTGCATTATAAAAATTTCAATGTAAAGACATATAAAAGGAGAAATGGAGAAACAAAAACAAGAAAAACTTGAGACGTATGGAAAACAAACAATGGTAAAATGGCCATCTTAAATACACCTATATGAATAATAACAATGAATGTGAATGGATTAAACAATGCAATCAAAAGGCAGAGATTGTCAGACTGGGGGGAAAACAATTTACCTCTATGCTATTTATCAGAGTCATACTTTAAATTAAAGGCGCAGACAGATCAAAGGTAAAAAGAGAGAAAGAAATATCAGGCAAATGGCAACTATAAGAAGCTGGAGTGGCCATACTAATAACATCACACAAAATGACTTTAAAACAAAGATTGTCGCTAGAGATAGAGAGTGACATCTTATAATGATAAAAGAATCAATGCGCAAGAAAGAAAAATTATAAATACATATGCTCAACAACAAAGCATCAAAATACGTGAAGCAAAACTGAACTGAATAAAGGAAGAAATATTCAAGTCTACAATAAGAGTTGGGGAATTTAATATCCCATTTTCAATAATAGAATAACTAGACAGAAGATAACCAATGACCTAAAGGATTCGAAAAATGCTATAAATCATGAAGACCTTAAAGAGAAATCTCTTCACACAGCAAGAGCAGAATACACACTCTTCTGCAGTGCACATGATGTTTCTTCAGGAAATACAATAAATTTACTCAAGTATACACTCAAATCTAAGTGGACTGAAGTCATGCAAACTATTTTCTCTGATTACATGGAGTAAAACTAGAAATCAATAACAGAAAGTTGGAAAACTCACAAATGTGAATTAAACATGCCTTTAAGTGACCAATGGGTTAAAGAAGATACCACCAAGGAAATAAGGAAATCTTTTTAGGTGAATGAAAAGACACAACATACCAAGACTTACAGGATACACCTAAAGCAATACTTAGAAAATTTTAAGTACAAATGCCTATGTTTTTAAAAAGACCACATATCAGTAACCTCACTTTATACCCTTAAGACACTGGAAAAAGAGGCACAAACTAAACCTAGAGCAAGCAGAAGGAAGAAAAAAATTAATAAATGATGTGAAGAATAACAAAACAGTAATGTCAATGAAACAAAATTGGGTCTATAAAAAGCTCTACGACAGTGACAAACTTTTTGCTGGACTGACCAGGAAAATAATGAAAACCCAAATTACTAGACTCAGAAATAAAGGAGGGACAACCTTATAGAAATAAAAAGGATTATGAAGGAACACTGAATAATTGTATGCCAAGAAATATTATACACAAACCACTGAAACCAATGGAAAAAATCTGAAAAGACCTGTAACAAGAGATTAATTCGTAATTTTTTAAAAAATACCCACCCACAAGGAAAAGCCCAGGCTCAAGTAGCTTCTCAGGTGAATTCTAGTAAACATTAAAGAAGAATTAATACAGATTCTTCACAAATTCTTCCAAAACCTAAGAGGAACACTTAGTTTTTGGAACACTTCTGATATATGCTACAATGTGTAAAAAACCTGAAAATACAATAAATGAAATAGCAATCACAAAAGACTATGTATTATATGATTCCATTTATATAAAATATCTAGAATTGGCAAATACAGAAACAGTGGATTAATGATTGCTTAGGACTGGGGGTGATACCGGAAGAGTATGAGATTTCTTTAGAGGTTGATGAAAATGTTATAAAATGGACTGTGGTCATGATTGTACAACCCTGAATATTCTACAACCAACTTTAAATGGGTAACTTTTATGGTGTTTGAATTATATCTCAAATTCACAAAAAGAACTGAACGCAACCCAAATGTCCATCAGTAGGAGAATGGATGGATAGATAATGGAATATCCATTTAGTGCAATACTGTATACCCATTAAAATAATGGGATATATGTATGAATAAAATCTGAACTGTTTGGTGTCCAGGATTTCATATTAAGTTAAAAAGCAAGAGATACGCACAGTTGACCCTTAAACAACATGGATTTCAACTATGCAGGTCCATTTATACATGGATTTTTTTTTCAATAAATACCTGTAATGTTTTTGATCTGTGGTTGGGAGTCTGTAATGGAAACAGAGGGCTGACTGCATTGATCATTTTATATACAGGACTTGAGCATCCATGGATTTTAGTATTTACAGGGGATGCTGGAACCAATCCTTCATGAATACCAAGGGACAACTAAGTTTTAGGGGAGTCAAAAGTCATATGTGGATTTCTAACTGTGGGATGTTGGTGCCCCCAACTCCCTCATTGTTCAAAGGTCAACTGTGTAATATGAATACATTTTTGTAAACAAAAACATTTGTATATATATGATATATGAATATATTTCTAAATAAATTTAGGAGAAATCTGGGAAATATACATTCCAAATTCTAAGCCTTTTAGAGTTGGGATTGGATGGGCTTAAATTTTTAAAGTCATGTAGTTTGAAGTGAATTTTTTACTTCAGCATTTTCTTTAAATACTCGGCCAATGACAGCTCCCAGAATATGTGTTAAACCTGCTCTGAGGGTATCACCTAACTATACTCAGGACAAACTCCTATTCTTTTGATATACTGCTCACTTAGGATTAAGTCTCCAATTTTAAATATAGTTTAATGGACAAGAAGTTATCTTGTTATAACCTCTTGCACATGCTACCCAGGGGCATACTTCTAACCTAGACTTCTCAAAAGGAATTTCTTCCTGCTGAGTGGAAAACCTCACATCTTCCCTCTCGTAGACCTACGACCACCAACAACAGAGGAAAATTAAAATGAATGATGACCTTCAACTGGTGCATAGATAAACTAAACTGTAAAATATCCATGGAATCCTATTCAGCAATAAAAACTATGATGAACAATGACACATGCATCAACTTGAGTGAATCTTAAATGCATTTTGGTAAGCAAAAGAAGGCAAATTCAAAATGCTACTTACAGTTTGATTCTGCATATATGATATTCTGAAAAACAAAACTATAGGAACAGAACAAATAAGTGGATGTCAAGGGTTAAAAATGGGAAACTGATGACAAAATGGTAGCACAGGAATTTGTCTTAATAGAATTTCTGTATCTTGATTATAGTTACCTGAGTGTATGCGTTTGTCAAAACTATAATTGTACACCAAAATAGACTAATTTTACTGTATGTGAATTTTCAAATAAATGTAATTTTTAATGGAGGAAAGAAAAAGTTTCTCAAAATCATGTATATGAAGTAGTGTTTCTATTCTGTGGTCTTTTGATTATGGGAGACTTAAAGCCACTTGGCTATCCTTATTTTCTGCCCAGAGGTCAGCAGAAATTGTCAGTTAAAATCATCCTATATACACATACACACACAAACCTACCATTAAAAATATCAGTAGGAACAGGAAAATAATTTGGTACACATGAGATCATTTTCTTAACATAAAATGTATATAATTTCTTAATATATTAAAGTCAATAATCCAATTAGAAATAGGTAAACGTTTATAGAAACTGAAATGTAAATGACTGATAAGCTGAGAAAAATGCTCAGAGTAGTAATACACATTAGGACAATGAGCTCTCTTAAAAGTCACAA